ATATTATTTTAGTGAAATGGAAATTTTTGGACACAATCATCCTGTACCATTTTCAAAAACGTTAACATTTTATCGATCAAATCCATTTACACTCACTGCCAGCTATTCTGTACCACCATCATCATATCCTCAAACTCATATTGGTATGCATTTGTTTCTATTTTCTTAATAAATAAATAAGTAGTATTTTTTTTTTTATAGCTGATAGTATTTTTATAGGTACATACACAATAAAAAACGTAAAACCAACGCCGGAAGGAGAGCTATCAAAAGTTAAAGTAAAAGTAAGAGTGAACTTGAATGGCATTCTTACTGTTGTTTCGGCATCACTAATTGAAAAACGTGAACTCACACAACAAGAAAAAGAAGAAGAGGAAAAACAACAACAACAACATCAGCAACAACAAAATAATATGGATGTTGATCAGCAACAAGATAAAAAAGATAAACCTGATCAAGAAGCACAAGCAAATGAACCACCAGCACCTGAGGTATATATATTTATTATATTTCATTTTTTATTCAAACTTTATTATGCTTAAAATTATTTTCAATTAGCTTATATGTAATATTTTAACATACTTATAAAATTATTAGCTATATTTGTTTAACATTATTTAACTAGTAATGCTAGAATTACTAAAATCATATTTAAAAATAAAATTTATGGCAAAAATGATAGAATTAAGAAAAATTTATTTTTCTTAAAGATTAACTTTTAAACTTTTGTAGAAATATAGTATTCATAATATGCTTTGAGTGTCTGATGCATGATTATGTGAGTTTGTTGTGGTTTAGGTGAGCATGGATAAAACGCGACGGAACTCAGATGCTGATGATGGTGGAAGAGGTGCGAGGGGTTCTGCCCCTTCCTACTCCTCCAGGATTCTCTCTTGGCTCAGCTCGGTACGCGACACACTATCATTACTTGGACCCATATGTTAACTGAAACATGTGCAATAATTTATGACTTTTGCTTAAATTGTTTTATTGTTATAAATTATAATGATAATTACGTGAATAGCTTTTCGTGTGTAAAAATGGCATAAATTTGTTTCTTTCATCGTGTCAACATCATCAATTATCTGTTATATGATCATTGCAATCATAAAATTTAAAATATCCTGCATGATATAAGAATCGCGTATTATATATTTTATATTTATTTACTATTTTGAAAAATTTTTTTATTAATCATATTTTATCACATTAAGAAAATTAAAATCTGAAAATTTTAAGTTTATTATTTAATTTAAAGCTTGTAATAAATTGTATTTGTTCTTGTATTTTATTTATAGTATTTCGAATATTGTAAATTAATTAAATTTCATTTATGTGTGCTTATAAAGTATAAATTGTTCATGAATTAGAAATTTCCTACATATTGTAGTTTCTTTAGTGCATGACATTTAGTTATGTTTAAAATTTCAAAATCTGTGTCGATTTCTTCTGCAAACTCGGTTAATAATATGCGACATATGAACGAAAGTAATATAATTAGAATATTTAATTCAATAAGATAGAAATTAATATTTTTGTATTTATAAATATAAACATGCATAATATAATTTCATGTAATGTATATGGGTCCAAGATACAGCTGTGTCACGCCGTGCTGTCTGTCTTTGCTCAATTATTCCTTTCACTGGGTCGCAGAAGGAAAAGAGACAGTAATATTTAATAATGCAATAATCTTTAATAAATTGCTAAAATTGTGAAGGCAGGCAATGCGGTTCGGTTTTCAATTCGTATAATATTTTGAATTATAACAGTTATCTTTATATTAAGTATTATATTATTTGACATACTTTGAATTAAAACGAATTGAAAATTACTCGCATAAGAATAATGCCCCTCTTTGTCCTCTGCTCATTTCTATCATCACCTGATTTCCAGCTTATGTGTGTCTTTCTTTAAAATGTTTAGTTATTATAATGACATTGTTATATTTATTTTATCTATTTTAATTATAAGTTAATACATTATTATTAAAATTAAATTATGTTTAAAAAATTTTAAAAATATTAGATGAGAGAATTAATATAAAATGTTCATTAAGATATATATTTTCTTAATGATTATAACAATATAAATAAATTTCAATAAATTTGATTGCAGAAATAATTAAACAGGTAAAACTATTTTATATCAATATTATATTATTTTTCAGAGCGATGATAAAAATGATGAAAATAAAGGTAAAAAGAAAGTTCCTATTCGTACTATTGATTTGCCAGTAGAAATGCGTGAATATGGACTTTCTCAACGTGACTTTGATGCCGCAGTAGAAAAAGAAGTAAGTTCATGTTTACTTATTACAAAATGTTACAATACAATTTTTAAT